GGACGGAATGTACGGGTTCGAGCCCCATCCAAAGCCAAAATTTTGCCAATATCTCGTCATCCTCGTCACTTCCGCATCACGTACTGCAGCAAAACGGCAGCAATTGATACATTCACTTCCTCCAACTTTGTTTTGTCTTGATAAATCAGGTTTCCCCCGATTCCGGGCTGGTAATTGATGATAAGAACGCTTTTCTTTTTTTCAATTCCCGAATTTCAATCAAATGATACCCTTTTCAGATTGTGACGACCACGTCAAACGTGGAACGGTATTACCCTCGTCAAACGGTCGATTTCAGCTCAAAAAGTCTAGAACTGCACAAAAACGAGGGAATCGTCTTTAGATATAAAGCGGTCTGATAGCGGCCGGCTGCATATCGTATCAGATTTATCTATGCATATGAAATAATTCCACTATTTTGCTTGGATGTGAACGAATACAACGATTACTGGTTTTCATCATTGTATAGGCTAATTACTAGCTGCTCAGTTATGGGCTATGCATGTATTGACAAACGATTAGGTATAAATTATCACTGCTTTCTTTGGTTTCACATTATCGACTTTTCTCGGAAGTCTATGATGGATAGATATATTTTTTCATAAATAGAACTATTTTTAACACGCATACCTATACACTGATACCCATGAAACTAATGGTGGTATTCCCGAGTTAGCTCCGCCCACTTAACCAGCTCCGCCCTTTCATAGGCCGGAAATTTCCAGTGAGACTTTGCCGAGATCGAGAATTTCTAGTGAGACTTTTTGCCGTCTGACGACAACGAGTCCGCCTAATATCCTCCCCAATTCCTCCGGAAACAAATTTCGCTACATCTCATCCTGACCTAACGTCACACAGCATGAAATACTGTTAGGTGAGAATGCAGCCAAAATTGATGTTCGCTCGTCATTAGATTCACTTAATTGTGCCCTAGGGCTGAATGAGTTATGCTATGGTGAGCGCCGCTGTGCTGTGCCGATTTGTCGTGCGCGGCGATCGGCGACCGCTTGCCGCACGCGAAAAATTCGCGCTTTGATTTAGTGCTTGACACTTGAACTTCAAAAAAATGATTTATACATTGTTTAAATAACCACTCTGTATTCATGCAATGAAAAAAACATCAATTATGCTCACGAAAACAAGTACAGGTCCAGAACTTTGTCCTTGAATGTCCTATTTTTTTGACTAGAAAANAGTGGTTCCGGACTTATAGTCAGTAAATACTAATCTAATCTTCATGAACCTCCTAGATATCCTGCTCACTAGTTCTCTTTGAAACTAGAGTTCAAGAAGCTAGAACTTCTTGTGCGATAAAAGGAAATTTACCGGAGGAAATAGAAAATTTGAAGAGTTTTACTAAAATCAACGCTGAAGTGGAGTGGGAAGGGTCTTGTGCGCTAACAATCCACAGATCCATTCGATGAAGTCAATTGTGATGACCGCAATACCGGCGTTCGAGGCTGAAATGGATATTTTCGCAACAAAAAGGTTGATTGAGTACATAGACAAATCAAAATTAAAGTTAGACATTGGAGAAGAAATAGGGGTTTCATAGTCACCATAGGAATCACCAAACTGAGTTGGGTAGTGATCATAGCTGATGGTCTTCAGCGGATCAACTTTCACAGTAACCATAAAGTATGAGCTTTGAAGGCATCTAATGATTCAAGTCCTCCTAGCAAGACTCAGGTCTTTCTAGATTCCCTTTCTATGAGCATATTGACAGGCGCTTTCTACAAAGGTATGCTTCAGAAGGTCTGTAGCAATAGCAGAGGTGGCCCTGCCTCGACGTAGGTTCCTTCCCTTGGTCACAATGAGACATCGTTCGATCGTTCGATGGCACTTGTTTGAGGGCTCCCTAGCCATTTCTGGGAATTTTTAACTTTCATTATAATTACACCGTCCAAAAAGCCAAGAACGCTTTTTCTGGGTGGAAAGCTTAAACTGAGGGAAAAATGAGGGGCTTGCGTACAGCCGGTTATCCCTCGTGTAGCGTGATAGCTCTCTCNCCTTTCATCTTACCAACCCGAGCATAATCTAGCCCTTTGAACAATGCATAGCTGTCGGCTCTACCACATAATTTTCTGCTGGAAAGTAGTGTTGGCACCTCTAGCAATTATCGCCTTTCCGTAAGACTTTCGTGTGTTGGAAATGGGGGAATTGCTCATAGAATAGCACTTACATGATCGAAACGAGCGGCAGATCTCAACGTGACCATCTGAGGACCTTGTTTCCAAAGTTCCATCATTTCCTAAACGAGTGAAATCTCGAAGAACACCACATGATCGCATCTGACCATACCTGCAACGTTGGGAGCCCAAGTTCCTTTCTGGATTCGTGCAACTCATCTTCACGCTTTCGTAGCTGCTTTATTTCGGATTTGATCAACGATCCGATTCGTTTCTCGGGGAAAGCCTGTAGGTGAGCGTTGATGGATTGGTTATGAGACACAAAGGGAGTCCGAGCTTACCTCCACATGAGGTTGCTCATGGACTTCCCTTGGTTCGTGCTTTCGTATTTTGGAATAAATATGATTGGATGGCGCGGTAGTACCTTTCTTCAGGTATCTACCTTGACGTGGGGATGTGGAGAAAACCTGTAAGTACCATGGTGATACTCTGAGCTCAGCGACACAGATGGCTTCCTGGTTTTACTCACCGAGTTGTTGTCATCTATAAGGCGAAGTTCCACAGGTATTCGAGGAAGATTCTCTAACACTTGCCGAGTCGCCGAACTGCAGGCGATACCCAAGCCTAAAACTTCGTACTACTAATCGACCAAGCTCAATGAACTTTGCACAGATATATTTATTGGCTTTGAATAATATCCACCTCTATCTATTATACAACGGTTCATACTCTTCTAAGATGCCCGATAAAATCAATACTCGTCCTAGACACAATCCCGCCCACTTCCAGGTCACTTTAGTCTACTATAAAAGAACGCTCATTCGTATAAAGGGCTCGAGCTTATGTCAAACATGGGACGCATCCCAGAAATAGGGTTTGAGAGCAGTTTTTGTGTGGGACCTACAAGTATCGTATCTATTCCACCAGCTCCCACAAAATTCCGTTCCTAACTTTTTTTTCGTCAAGTTTTTTCTAGGCTCACCTATTCCTCATTGCTGCGTGAACACGTCCACTCTGGGGTAGGAATATCGTTCACAGAGTTGTCCATCAGACTTTTGGGGGCCGTTGCGCCTTCTACCCTACCTTTTAACCATCAAATGGGGTGACTACTTCGCACGGGTGGGGCGTATATTCTTATACATATGAATGGAGAAGTAAGCAAGGAATCAGGCAATAAAAATATCATGCAAAAATCGCTTACTCGACATAATCTCTGGATTTTGTTTCATGTAAAGCATGAAAAGCTGTTCCTCGTTGGTATAGATTTGATCCAGGCTTTGTACTGTAGACTTCTCTACGTGCTCGTATCCTGAAAAATGGTTTACGGGCGATCCACAGAGGTGACCAATGGGCTCAATTGGTTACAGTAAATATCGAGCCTGTTTTTTGATTTCTACAAATACTAACCGTTGGAATAAGACGGTGTTCGACATCCAGTAGTAGTATCCTCTGTACTGTAGTATGTGCTCGACTGAACCTGAAGAAAAGTGTTTTCAAATAAACAAAGTAATAGAAGTAATAAATAATAATATTAGTAAACAATAAAGTAACAAAGTAAAAGCAAGAAAAAAGTAACAGAATAATTAAACCTAACCTGAGATCCTTCAGAACGTATTGAATGCTGGCTAGGTGTTTGCCTCCCGATAGATTCGCTCTCTGACGATAGAACCTGCCGATGCATAACGCGCTGATGGCCAGGTCCTTGAAAAACGTGGAATATTTCCATATTGAGACTTTCGAAGTGATTGAGAGAGTACTGTAAACAGTACAGTGGGCCCTGAAGTCTTCGCACTCACCTCTGTTCACCCGAGAAAAATCTTGCGATTCAAAGCGTTCCCTGGCTTCTGCTATGTTACCGATTGACTCCCTGCACACAGCATCCCGGATCTTACTCTTATCGTACCT